ATAATATTTTCTTTCCCATCCTCCTGCAAGGTTTCTGTTGAAATGAGAAAAGTATTCTTTTCAACCCAGCCAGATAACGTTCCGTGGTGGCTAGCAAAAAATATACTGTAGAGCTATAAATATGTGGAACTATAGATGACTTTAGTATTAGTTCAATTTTTCTCCAAATAACTGGGCGTTGCAAAGGTAATATAGATACGTTAAAACTTCTCAGCTGCTAGAAGTCATGCTACTGCATGCTGCCAGTGTTTTCGGGGTTTATCCTTCTCTTTCATTTATAAAGCATCTCCCAGTGCTCTAAATAGGAGGCAGGTCTGTGAAGGGATGTCTGGATTTCATCTGATTTCTTTATAATTAAAGTTCCTGAGCACTGCAGATAAGACTGCTAGGCTCCACTGAGTGGAGAGGCTCATCAACTCTGGAGAGTATTTTGTAAGCTCCACTAATATAATCTATTTTTAAGGTTCAGGTTTCAAAGACCCTATGGCACTTTCAGAGGGCTAGCCATGCAGAGTTGTATTTCCCTTTGAATTCTTGTAAAACTATATAGTCATTTTATTTTATTGTGAAATATGTTTTTTTAAAGATAAAAAATGGTTATGCTCTTGGTTCAGGCAGTTTTAACTGCTGACTGGCTCTTTCCTCTTCAGGACTTGCAAGCTGCACAGCCAGTCATGATTCTTAACTTTCCTGGCCTTTTCTGCTCTTTCTAATATACACTGGTATTTTCTAGCTTCATTTTCTGACTAGCCTTAGATTAAAAATAATGATTTGCTGAGTTTCACATTTGCAAATGCTGGAATGACTGACATGGGAGCCAGTTGATAACATTGTAACTGGAAAAGATAGACATCCCAGAAAATAGAAGTAGATTATCACTAGAGTATTATTTGAAGATTGTTTTTAAAAAACAAAACAAAACAAAACAACCCCTAACTTACTGGGATATATAAAAACAACTAACTGGTAATTTGTGTTTCTGCACTCACTGTACATTAACCTGTGATTGATGGTATCTGTCCAGCTGTGAAGCAAAAGGCTAGGAGGAAGCACTGACCTTCTGAGACGGGTCCCCACATATGGGGGAGAGGCACAAATAGCAATGATACAAACTTGTGCTGCTGCTTTGTGCCTCATCTCATGCCCCTGCATATGCCCTTGAGTGTGCAGCAGATTGTCCGAATTAGAGGTAGGGGAGTCTGGGGACAGTACCTGTGCTAACCTCAGCAGTCTTGCCTGGTGGTGTGCTGGGGCAGCAGGGAGGCCTGGCATTGCTCTGGATAGCTGAGCCTCCTCCATTTGTGCCAGCTCTTGCTTGTTTTGTATGCATTTGTGCTGCTTTTTGTTCAGGGATTTTTTTTGCTTTACTATTGGGATTTCCCAGTTGCAAATTTTGCTACCACTCTTGACAAATTGCAGTCCAGTACACTTTCACATGGCACCACAAACTGCACATCCCTGCCCGTTGGGGACCCGCACTTGGTATCTACTTCTAAGCTGGCAGCATGAGAAGGGCCCTAGTGTAAACTTCCGTTACTTAGTTGTCTGATTAATTGGTCCCAAAATGAAGAAATTGCTTTTTAAAAATTCTTATTTGTTCTCTGGACTCTTCCATAAAGGTTCTCTTAAGATTTTGTTCTGAACAGGTAAGACTTTTAGGATGTTTCTGTTAGGGCTGTGCGAAGCTTCGGTAGCTGATTCAGTTCGGAGGAGGTTTAGCCCGACTCGGGGACTGAATCTCTGAATCTGAATTAAATCAGGAGCCCAAGTAAAAGCTCCAAATCGATTTGAAGCATCTGAATCAATTTGGAAAAGCTTCAGTTGGGGTTGGGGTTGGGAGAGGGAGGGATTGGAGCTGGGGCTGGGCCAACGGGGGTGCTTTACTTGGGGAGGCAGCCGGGGGACATGAGATATGGGTGCGGTGGTGCTGGGAGTGGGGGCTCTGCCCTGCTGCCACTTGCCCAGCTGGGGTGGGAGGGGTGCAGGATGTAAGTGTGGCTCACTCTGAGTTAAAGGGGCAAAGTGGCAGCAGGGCAGAGCCTCCACTCTTAGCACTGATGCAGGTGCAGCAATGCTGGGAGTGGGGGCAATGCCCTGCTGCTGCCCAGAGTGAGCCACGCCTGCATCCTGCCCACCCTACACACACAGACTAGTTGGGCAAGAGGCAGCATGGCATAGCCCCTACAGCTTCCCTTGCCAGGGCAGAGGCAGGCACAGCTGGAGCAGTCATAGAAGCCCATGGCTGTGCTGCCCGGTCCAGCCTCCTGGAACTTGGAAAAAAAAAAAAGTCCCACACTCACTGGCTGCAGGAGTGGTGATTGGGGTCTCTGGGGGCTTATGGTACAGCCCCCATCCTCACTTGGCACCTGCACGGCAGCCCATGGCGCAGCTGCAGCATGGCTCAGCAGGGCACTGTGCACTGTTTGGGAGCTGGGACAGCTCCAGCAGTCAGCTGGAGCCCAGCAGCGCTCAGATCCTTGGGCCCAGCTCCCAAGCAGTGTGCAGTGCCCTGCCGAACTGTGCTGCATCTGTGCCATGGGGCAGCTGCTGTGCAGGTGGCAAGCAGGGGGGGTGTGATCCCTACTGCCCCGTGTTGTGCAGGGGGGCTCTGTCATGAGTGCCCAGAGGCCCCAATCACTGCTTCTGCAGCTGGTGAGTACGGAGCTTTTTTTTGGTGCCAGGACTAGGCTGAGGCTGGGCAGGGGATGGGGCCAGGCAGGGCAGCCATGGGGGCTTCTCCCACAGCCTGGGAAGAGGCAGTCACAGCTGATAGAGCTGCCCGGCTGTGCCTGCCTCTCCCCAGCTGATCTGAATCACTGAATCTGTCCAAATCAGTGCTGAATCTTCTGAAGCTGATTCAGCTGAATCGATTCAGGACAGTGATCCAAATCTCCAATCTTTTTATACTGCGGACTGCCAAACTATCTAATTTACATATTTAAATGTAATTTTTATGGTGGGGCAGGGTTGTGAGGTTGGGTTGGGGCACCAGGGGACCCTGCAGGGGATTGGGCTGCACAGGCGGTGGCCCAGGGGGTCTCAGCTGGGGCTGCCCAGGAAGAAGAGGCTCTGTTGCTTTTCTAAGAGCAAGCAACAGAGCCGCCTCCCCATCCTCTGCCCCGGGCATTTCCCGACCCACATTCCCCTGCTCTCAGCTGTGGGCGGAGCTGGGGGTCCTCCCTGGCCCAGTGTGGGCCCCGGTACCTGGTGCACTGGCAGTGCCTTGCCAAGAGCGGTCATGGTGGCAGGAGTGGGACAGGGAACATAGAGTCAGCTGCCTTCCTCCTGGGGCTGCTGTGCCGCCCAGCTTTAACCCCACACGTGACTGCTGCTGGTGGAAGCCATGGCCCAGCAGCCAACCCACCATGGCCCGGGATTGTGGTTGGGAACCCCTGGGCTATCCAATAGAAACAATTTTACATATGAAAAAGTTGGGGGAGGGTTGAGGAGAGACCAAAAGGCGATGGGAAAACTTGTAGGTGTAGCAAAATTTTATTATATTCTCAAAAATGTGCATGCAGCTGCCAGTTTAGCATTCAGTTTAACTTTGTGCAAAAATAGCTATGTGATTAAGCCAATTATACTAATGCACTCAAAACTAAAAAATAACTGCTTACCAGATAAAATGATATTTTAAAACTCCTAATGCCTAACTGTTTAAACATATTAGGCTCACATTGAGGATTGCATATAAAGGATTTTCTCCATGAAGTTTAGGTCCAATATTTATCCTATACAGATACTAACATGATGTTATTCCATTTTGAAGCGTGTGTTTAAATACAGGCATACCTCGGAGATATTGCGGCTTCGGTTCCAGAACACCACAATAAAGTGAATATCGCAATAAAGCGAGTCACACGAATTTTTTGGTTTCCCAGTGCATATAAAAGTTATGTTTACACTATACTGTAGTCTATTAAGTGTGCAATAGCATTATGTCTAAAAAAACAATGAACATACCTTACTTAAAAAATACGTTATTGCTAAAAAATGCTAACCATCATCTGAGCCTTCAGCAAGTCGTAATCTTTTTTGCTGGTGGAGGGTCTTGCCTCAATTTGTAAAAAACGCAATATCTGCGAAGCGCAATAAAGCGAAGCGCAATAAAACGAGGTATGCCTGTATAGAATTGCTCAAAGAAAAAACTATAGGTACAAATGTTTGAGGCACAACACAAGGTAATGACTTTCCCTTCCCACTTTTGCACTAGCTAACACAAGTTGCTCACACAAAATCATGACACACGCATTGGTTGGGATAAATTCCTTGACCACGAGGAAAAAAATTCAGGATCAACTCCTTAGCAAGACTTTGATTCAAATGGTTTCTGTGTAGGCATGAATTTTCCTGGCTGAGCTGTTTACAGGACTGAGATACAAGTAGAAAAAAAATATATATTTTTTATGGAACAGAATATTATTAAATATCTTATCACAAACATGAATTGTATGTACTTATTGACATTTAGAACAAAAATATAAGAAACAATGGCTAGAACTACTTTAATGGTTTTGTGTAGTGGGTATGTGCTAGAGGTATGCTGAGAAATTCACACTTAGTCCAATTCACTGTAGGTATTTCTTTACTGCTTCAACCTGGTAATATAAGGAGCTGGAATCCTTCCTTAGCCAAGGGAGTGAAAATTGGAAAGTAGCATCTCTTGCTGAAGAACAAGCTAAGTTTAGGAACAATCTGAGGGAGTTGATTAGTTACTAGTGTGTTCACTTAAACAGCAATAAGAGCAAACCCCAAGAAAGAAGTGTACCTAGGCACAAACACCATGTATGTTAAAACTCCCATGTGCTTCTGCCCACTCACAATCGCATTCTATTCAAATTGTAGTAGTGTAGGTCTTCACATTTAAAAATATGCTAATTAAATATTGTTTTTGCCATTGCAGGATTTCAATGCATTTAATTATTTCTTTGGTCTCCCAGGGTATCCTATTATCTATTAATGGTCTGGAAGTTTTTAAACAATTTTTTTCTCTTTTGCAGAAATTTTATGAATAAGAACCAGAAGCCAGTGCTAACAGGCCAGCGGTTCAAAACTAGGAAGAGGGGTAGGCTATGCGATTTTTTTATTTACCCTTTATGAAAGCAGGATTATTACTGTTACATAAGATGGGGATGTCCGATGTCTGGGCAGCCAGGGGCCACATGTTGTGCGGGCTGCACCCTGTTTTCCTATTCCCACCCCTACCCCTCTCCCTCCTGTGTGTCCCCTCTTACTTGGTGGCGCAGGCTGCATAGGGTGGCCCACCCTGTAACAGGCAGCCCAGCTCTTCTTGCTGCACACATAGCAACACCTCTTTTTTCCGCTGCACAGTAGGCAGCATGGGCAACCTGACTTCCTCTGTTACAGACCACACAGCACCCTGTCCTACCATTTAAGCACCATGGGCATCCTGGCCCCTTTTTCCTGTGCTGCCCTGCCCTGAGAATTTGGGGCAGGAACCAGAAGCCAGAGGAAGGAGAGGAAGCCTGGAAACATTGTCTGAGAGAAATGAGCCAACTCTGGTCCCTGGGACCCTGCAGACTATTTCTTAACCCCTTGCAGGCTGCCAGTTGAGCAATCCTGATATATGGCATTGCCTGCTATTTGTGCTATATCCTGTGGTTTTAAATGCTTTTGCTTTTAAGATCTAGAAATTGGACAGATGGAGTAAGTGATGAGTTTGGTAAGATTAAGATGTTTCCCCCTCTCTGTGTTAAAATAGTTACCAGTTTAATTTTAACAGTGGAATTATGCTTTTTAAGAACTTTAGAAAGGACATTTGGAGCTTAGGCTTGATTTTAATATTAGTGTATAGGAGGGTATAGGGAAGAATAACAATTTAACCAGGACTACAGTAGATATAGGTACTGGAAAAATAGTTGTTGAAATTTTTAATAATTCTTCCAGCTGCCATGCTAAAGATCTTTTTTTGATAAAGAATGAAAAAAAAAGAGTTTTTTTTAAAGAGAAAAGCAGCATAACAAGTTTTGAAATTTGAATTTGATAATTGTAGTATCAAATCTGTGTCCCAGAAGTTTTGATACAATTTTCCAATATTTATTTCTACTGTGCTTTAATTTTAAGTTACTTTTCCATTCAAATTAAAAATACCAAAAAATTAATTCCCCTTTTCAGGAAATATTGATAATTTGATATTTTAAATATAACTAGTATCCATTTCTTTCTTTTCAACATTTCACAAATGAAAGTGTATTATCTGTGCATAACTGGCATAATTGGCATGAATATGTTTTATGCAGCGGGAAGTAATTCCAACCAATGAATGTTGGGGTGCAGTTGATTGGTCACTCCAGGTTGTGGATTTCATCTGGGAATTGGTTAGGAAAGGCCTGATTAACAAAAATACTGCTCATTCATTTTAAGGGAAACTCCTAATGGTAATAAATTTGGAAACCACTGTCAGCAAAATGAAACAATGCAAATTTTAACTTTTTGAAATCTAGTTCTTAGATTAACCTGGAAAAATTTTGGCCATTTTCAAAATGTTTCAGTTCTCTTCTGATTTTTGTTGGATCCTGGGGGCAGTAACTAATTCTGTCTATAAATTGATCTTGATTTTTAGTACTTTGGTTTGTAGTGAATTTATTGGCAAGTTTAGATGGTATTATGCACTGACAATCTGACTGAAAGCTTTAGTCTAAGTTTATCTGTTCTGGAGAGGCTCTTAGAGCCATGTTACCCTCTACTTCCTCCTTAACTAAACTGTAGTAGTCTAATATCCTCATGTTACTTTCCTGTACTGTTGACTGTGTGCCATTTTAATGAATTCACTGTTTTCTGTTTGTGGATTTTTGCATGAAGAGTTTCCTTGTCTCTCCAGTAAGTAACACCTTCCCTACTTAACCGTCCCAAGAGAAAACTATTAGTTTTCTTCCTTCCTAGCTATATGTTGCCTGTTTGGGGCTTATATTTTCTTCCTTCCTTTGAGCCCTCCAGAAATGAAATATAGGCATATTCACCCTTATTAAATATTACCATACTTACTCATACAACACACACATTTTCTCATACAATACACATGCCTTTTCCCCCCAAAGTTAACACTCCAGCACTGGGGTGAATGTCACAAGTGGGAAAGATGATTTTTATGCCTGGAATAGAAGCATGGAGATGCTGTAAAATGGATCCTGCTTCTTCTCTCTCATCTCCCTCCCTACCCTTGTGTTTGCATGAAGGGAGCAGTGGAGACTAGTCTTCAGTAGTAGCTACAGTTTTAACCTTTTCACATCTGAATTGGAGCAGAGTATAGAGCCAAATCCTTGGAGATTTTTAAGACCCAGCTAGACAAAGTCTTGCCTGGGATGATCTAGTTGGGGAAGGTCCTGCTTTGAGCAGGTGGTTGGACTAGATGACCTTCTGAGGTCCCTTCCACCCCTAATTTTCTATTATTCTACAAAAAAAAAAAAATCTTCAGCTTATTCAGCCTCCCTTTCCTACTCATGAGAAAGCAACCAGTTCAGCTCTGAAAGGGATGTGGATAAGATTACACATTACAATTAGACCATGTTAACTGCACTTAAAACTTAAATGATCACACACTGAGACTTCTTAACAAGAGCACAGTGCCCCTTACACTGCTTTGAGCAAGGATTATCTTTGAGCTGTGCTATCTAGCTTGAGTTTAATTCAATTTCTGGACATTCACCTGAGAAAATCACCAATTGTGCAGTCCCCCAGTATCAGGAGGCAGTGCTCCCTGGTGGACTAGCTATCATCCATGCTTAATGGGTACTTTGCGTCAGTTTTTTACCAGTCCTATGGGACGCCCCTGCGCACTGTGGGTCAGGGAGGCCCAGGTGAGGGAGATCCTTGCCCTCTATCAAAGCTGATCTCATGAAGGAACACCTTGACAGGATGGATACCTTCAAGTCAGCCAGCCCTGATGGGTTACACCCAAGGGTACTCAAGGAGCTGGCAAACATCATAGCTCAGCCCCTGGCATGGATCTTTGAGAACTCCTGGTGCTCTGGTGAAGTACCTGAAGATTAGAAGAAGGCCAGTATGGTGCCTATCTTCAAGAAAGGGAGTAAAGTGGGTCTGGCAAACTATAGGCCCATCAGCCTGACTTCTATCCTGGGGAAGATCTTGGAAAAGATTATCAAGGAGGCCATCCTTAACAGACTAGCTGGTGGCAATATCCTGAGGGATACCCAGCATGGGTTTGTTGCAGGTAGGTCTTACCTGACCAATCTCATTTCCTTTTACGACCAGGTGACCTATCACTTGGACAAGGGGGAAGAGATTGATGTCGTATATCTTGACTTCAAAAAAGCCTTTCGACCTGGTATCCCACGATCACCTCTTGGCAAAACTGGCTAACTGTGGCCTCGACCTCGCCATGATCTGTGGGCTGGGGAATTGGCTCTGCGGCAGGACCCAGAGGGTGGTGGTTGATGGAAGCCAATCATCTTGGTGCGCAGTCACCAGTGGGGTCCCTCAAGGCTCTGTCCTAGGGCCTATACTGTTTAACATCTTCATCAAGGATGTGGACATTGGTATCAGAAGCGGGCTGGCCAAGTTTGCTGACGACACCAAACTCTGGGGTAAAGCATCCATACCTGAGGATTGGAGGGTGATCCAGGCAGATCTTGGCAGGCTCAGGAAATGGGCGGATGAGAACCTGATGGTGTTTAACACCAGAAAATGCAAGGTTCTTCACCTTTGGAGGAAAAACCTGCAGCATGCTTATAGGCTCAGCAGTGCTACACTGGTTAGCACTACAGATGAAAGGGACTTGGGGGTCATGATTGACCACAAAATGAACATAAGCCTTCAACGTGATACTGTGGCTAGTAAAGCGAGTAAAACACTGGCTTGCATCCATAGATGCTCCTCAAGCAAACCCTGGGACGTCATTCTCCTGTTGTACTCGGCCTTGGCGAGGCTGCAGCTGGAGTACTGCCTCCAGTTTTGGGCTCCACAATTCAAAAAGGATGCAGAGAAGCTTGAGAGAGTGCAGAGGAGAGTCACGCGCATGATCAGAGGTCAGAAAAGCAACCTTATGATGAGAAGCTGAGAGCCATGCGACTCTTCAGCCTAGAAAAGCGCAGGCTCAGGGGTTATCTGGTGGTCACCTATAAGTTTATCAGGGGTGCTCATCAGGATCTGGGGGAATGTCTGTTCACCAGAGCACCCCAAGGGATGATAAGATCAAACAGTCACAAACTCTACCACAACCGATTCAGGCTGGACATAAGCAAGAACTTCTTTACTGTCTGAGCCCCCAAGGTTTGGAATAGACTGCTGCCAGAGGCGGTTCAAGCACCCACTTTGAACGCCTTCAAGACACATTTGGATGCTTATCTTGCTGGGATCCTATGATCCCTGCTGACTTCCTGCCCCTGGGGCAGGGGGCTGGACTTGATGATCCTTCGGGGTTCTTTCCAGCCTGAATGTCTATGAAATCCAGAACTTGATGGCCCTGGACTGCCATCTGGGAACATTTGGGCAACAGGTATGTGGGAAAGGAGGGGAAAAGGGTGAAGGCGGTAGGGTGGCTAAGGGGAGGGAGTCAGGAGAATGGGTCAGAGGGCCAGGATAGGAGGGAAGGCAGAATTTGGTGGGGGGCTGCCAGGCTGCTTCCCCCTTTATCCCCCCCCCAGTTGTCCCTTCCACCTCCAGATTGTTTCTCTGCCTCCCCAGTCCAAGACTGGCAGAGGTTCATCCTTCCTGCCTGCTCCTGGGATACTGCAGACCATGTTGACCTTGCATTACCTGGATCTAGGCTTGCCAGGCCCCACAACTGAAGAAAGGGCAGGGGAGAGGGGGTTAGAAGGAGCAGAGTGCTGAGACATCTGATGGGGGCTCTATCCAAGTATGTACAGGTGGCACAGGCTGCAGGGAACCTGGGAGCAGGCAGAGAGAGCAGGGTGATTTTGGGCAGTGGAGGGGATGAATCAAGTGGTTTAGGGTCCCCCTTCCCCCCTGCCCTTCTTGTGGCCTGTGATGTGGCTAGATAGCTGGTAAGCAGGGCAGGAATGGAGCAGACTGGCAGTATATACATATGAGCAGGAACAGTCATATGGCCATAATTCTGAAAAATAAGTTTTTGCGAAGGCAGAATAAGAAAAAAGCTTGTGTCTTCTTGTTTAGGGACATGTGGTATTCAAGAAAATATGGTAGCAGTCATGGTAGATTTTGAGGATCTCAGTGAAGGAAGCAAGACTTCCATGAATGTAAAGATGGCTACTAGATACACACCTGATATGTGGACTACTTGTTTGACGCCCCTGTTCTATCTCAACTTAGCTTTCAAAAATCATATCACGTTTACTTGAATACAAAATGAGGTTCTCCTCTTCTCTCCCACATCAGCTGGTGTGGGACACTTTTGTCTGTCTTACTTGCGCATGAAGTGGAGATGGGTTGTAGGCACCTGCTGTGACTCTGACTCTGGCCCTGAGCCTGGGTCAGGGCCAGAGTCAGCTCCACAGCAGCTGCCTGTATCCTCCCCTGCTTCCCCTCTGCAGCTGTCCACCAGATGTAGTTTGTGAAAGGACAAGATTATAGCTTTCTTAGTGGTCTAATAGCATTGCTTGTTTTAGCAGACAATGTTAGCATTCTTCTCTGTGTTACATAAGACCCCCCCCCACACACACACACACACGTGCATGCACACTTGTTTGGAAGTTAAATTTACACATGACCTTCAGTTCTGTTGAAGGGTGGTGTAAGTAGAGCTGATTTTATGTATGGATTAGGAAGAAGAAACATGTTTTGAGTCTTTCTGAACATCTCAGAAGAAGTACTAATCCCATCATCATTCAGAGGACCTGATTGATTTATTAAAATCTAAGCAGAACCTGCAAGCTGAGAATCACAAAAGTTTTTCTGTATTCATGATTTAGTCATGAACTGTTCTGCTTTTATCCTTCCCTCCTTTTCATTCCTTTATATGCTTTCTTACTTTTTTTTTTAATTTCAGTTGCCAGATTTTATGACAAGTAAGGGTCGTTAGTAGGGATCCTGGTTTTCTTTGATTAAAAAAAATAACAAGTTCTCTGATTAAACCTCCCCCACCTCCCCAGTCCATGATATAAAATGAAACACTACTAAATAGGTATAGATAGAAATAGGTAACAATTGAACACAATATTTTATTGATTGAAGAATTTAATATAAGAATGCAAATTGCCTTGCTTAAGAAGGAACAGAATTTGCCTTATCCTCACTTATTCTCTAAAAATCAATAGGAACTCTCATTATAGGAAGGTGAGGTCAGAAAAGGGGCTAAGATAAATATAGATATTGGTAGAAAAACATTCAGGTCTCTGATTTGGGGGTCTTTTGAAAGGTTATGATTCATTCAAAAAGGAGGAGGATTCTGGTATATATGTACAGATGGGAATGGTGACTTGGAAATGGAGTGAATGAAACCGCTAGCTGGACCTTCTCCAAGTTCTGTAGACAGAATTCTTGCCTTTGACACTGTAGACACTGCATCTGCAAATATACCTTCTACCACCACCATGTGATAGAGACTGAGCGTGTTCACAAATTATGTACTTTACAGCTCAATATGTTGTTGTTACTCCCTAATAAAGTGTTCCTATTCAATTTGCGCTGGGTCAAGTTTGCTTCTCAATGCAGCCTTCAAATGAAAGGCTTTTGTGGTGGGTTTTTTGCAATATAGTCCAGATGCCTCTTAAGTACTAAGCGCAGTACAGCCATTGAGTATTTAAATAAACTGTTCCTAAAGCTCTTGGGGACTTTGAATTCACACTGTTCAATAAAGTACCCAAGTATGCGTTTGGTATCATAAACAATTTTGAAAATAGTTTGTATACCTCTTGCTTATTTGTGGCATTCGCAACTGTTTGTGAAGCTGTTGTATGTGCATGTGTTTACACAAGGCAGAGGGAATAACAGAAGGGATATGTTACTCTCTCCTTAAGCTCATTGGGCTTTGCTAGGGTATCTCTTATGACTAATGGCCTTGACTTAAATGTTGTTTGGAGGTCAAAATCTGTTTGTTAATCAAATTCAGCTGGGGGATTCACCTAGGCCATACATCACTGGTTGCCACTCTGCTTCAAAGAACTGTTTCTTTCTGAGTATAAATGGTAATATTGCAGTTTCCTTCTTTTCTGTCAAAAACAGCAGTTTCCTGAGTTGCAGTTTCTTCTCTAAGATTTACATATGTTAAATGCCACTGACCTTTACCAAGAAAAATAAGAGTTGAAAATTCTTCACATGCATTTTTAATTTTGCACCAGTGCTTTTTTTCCTTTTAATTTCCTAAGGGTTGTTTTAGTTTCTTTTGTTTTTTCAGTTGTAGTTTAATATGTGGGTGTAATTGTGTGCATGTCTGGCTTGTGTTTCCTAGATGAAAAGGAGAAATTTGAACCCACAGTCTTCAGGGATACAATTGTCCAAGGCCTCAATGAAGCTGGGAAGGACCTGGAAGCTGCAGCCAAATTCTTGGATGCAACAGGCTCAAGGCTAGATTACCGTCGTTATGCTGACACACTCTTTGATATACTGGTAGCTGGCAGCATGTTAGGTAAAATTTGTGCGTGTTGCTTAAAGACTTTTCTCACATCAGCATAACATATCAGAGGGAGTCCTTGTTATCTAGCGTAGAAATTGTTCTACAAAAACTAAACTTAATCTGTTTGATCTGTCTAGATACTTATTTGATCCAACCTCACCTAGTTGTTTGTTATTTTTATTATAGTAGATAAAATTGATAAGCAGAAAAAGCTTCTAGTAAGCAATAATCTACTGGCTTTTACATTTAAATTCTTTGTACCTTCCATTTTGCATTTAGTCTGTTTCCCGCAGTCATGATGGTCAGTAACATTCAGTGTTAATTTTACCATAAACACTTTTTTTTGCATCTCTTGCTTTCACATTTTGTCTGGGATGCTTGGTTATAATACCATATCAGTAATCTCATGTACAGTAACTGTATCTCCTCATTCTTACAGTTTAGTGTAACTTGAATTGCAGCTGTAGTAGAATACATAACATATTTGATGTCGCTAAACCTCATTTTGTTATGGTCAAATGCCCGAAATTTGTTAGGTACAATAATCAGGGAAGAGTTAAGATATATTTCAGGTACTAAAAGAAGTAACTAGTGTTTATAAGGATGAATGAAAATTAAGGTAAGGGTGCTAGCAAATTGTTTACATAGTATCAACCAGTACTCTCAGATGACAACAGGGCGCTGTCCCCAAAACCAGATGAACTTCCTTGTTATGACCCAAATCCCCCAGTTCTTTTGAGTGTAATATGAACTGCAGGATATGGCACACTGAAAATCCTGTTAGTTTCTCTATGTGTTCGGAATATAACCACAACCTAGGAATTCTCTGGCTGGGCACTACTTTACTTTTCCCTTGTACCCAATACTAGTTATTAATCTCTTTATCTCAAAGATACAAAAGCTTATGTGTTTATTGGTAAGTATTTATTGTGCTTTCCTTTTTCTTTTCTCCCCCCCAGCCCCTGGAGGGACACGCATAGATGACAATGACAAGAGCAAAATGACCACCCACTGTGTGTTTTCTGCAGATGAAGATCATGATGCTATCCGAAACAATGCTCAGGTCAGGGTAGAAAAGGGACTCGGTGACTGACAGGCACTTAAAACCTTTTTATAAATTTTAGGGAGGATTATAAAGAGAAATCTGCAACCTGACCTTGCAGGTCACTAGTGACAGAGCAATTAAGTACAGTTAAGTAGTAATCTGCTTTTCTCCACTCTAACCTATAAATATTAAGCAAGGAAAAGGATGTGTAGGAATATCTGGTCACAATTTACAATTCTTTGTCTAAAAGAGTATTATAGAGCCTGTTCCTTAAAGAGTTTGCCAATATTCTTAGATTCCAACATGTTCTTTAGCTTTATGTTGTACTTCTGTACATATAGGCTTATTTAAACAGAGTTATTATGAGCATAAGAGTAATGACTCCTGTGTAATTGTTTTGTGTTCAAGTCTCAGATAAAAGGCCTTTGTTTACCAAAAATATATTCAGTACATTAACTTCATGACACTACTAAAATTTATTGGTTCAGTTCCCCCAGTTTCCTCAGGCTGCTATGTGTAGAGCAGAGATCTCTTATTGCAAATATATCCATAAAGAAATTTTAAAGGCAACAGAGTGATGGAAAGCAGGGTTGACGAGCTGGGAATGAGAACTCTGGAGCCTGGAGCTGGAAAAGCTGCACTAATTGCACTAATTCTGCACTAATTTCTGCTTCAAATATTGCTAAGCAGAAATCACAGCATTATTTCTAAGGATCCATTGTCAAACAACATAAGAGGCAGGAACACTGACGAAGGGCACATGTGTGAATAGAGCATTTATTTTATAGTAATTCCATGAGGCTAAGGATGCAGTTGTAACAGAAATGTGCAAAGCACCCATCTGATGGTACTTTGTGGGAGCACCACATTTAGTACCATTTAAAAGAAATCTGTGTAGAATGTAAAGGTATGAAAAGCCAGTAATCCCAGCTTTCCCCTCTCCTATAGGTAAATAAATCCTCTGTGATAAGACATAGAAAAAAATGTTTGAAGTTCTTTGGGTGTTCTGTTTTGACTGGCTGTGGGCAATGCTATTTTCCTGCTCTCCTGTAGAAATGGCTGGCTACATTTTTTTTTCTTTTTTTTTCTTTTTAACTTCAGTCTACTCTTATATTTAGGTCTTTAATAAACTCATCAGGAGATATAAATATTTGGAGAAGGCATTTGAAGAGGAAATCAAAAAGGTAATGTTAGATGGCAGTATCTCTTGGAGCTTAATATCACATATCTTATATCTCATGTAATTGCATATTTTTAAATGCTACTTCTGTTTGTTGTTTTGATTTAACTTAGCTGGAAAAGAGGGTGGAAACTGCAACTCTGAGGTAGCAGTTGTAGTTTGTAACTGAGTCTCTCTCAAAGTGTTGCCAAAGTAAATTGGGTTTGGAGTATCAAGCTTGATTTGGCAGGCCAGCTCTGGACTGCTGGGTGACCCACCTCTAGAACTGAACTGTGGGGATTCTCATTATAGCTGCCAGAGCCATTGTGTTGGCAGGTCTGGCAGCTAGGGAGTTAATGCCACTGCGCAACCCCTGTTGCCAACTGCCACTGATCTTAGTTGCTAGTGGTGACAGAAAAGGCCAAATTTTGGTGGTTTTCACCTCCTAGGTACTGACCACCTGAACACAGGCTCTGGAAGCCAGTGGTGATGGGGGTTGAGCTTGGGCAACTGGGATTGAGTGGTGGTGACATTAATTCCTTTGCTGCTGGCAGTCATGGCTAGAAACTCTGCTGGCCAGATGAACCCCTCTGTGACCCAGATCTGGCTTATGGGCCACATGTTTCATATTACTACTGCGTGGTGTATGCTGAATCAGTGCTACCCTAACCAGATCCATTTCCAGCCTGCTCTTGGTGCTGTCCTGGCTATGGAGCACTCTGGTAAAACATTCACTGAAATGAAGATACCACCTTCTTGGCTACTAGAACACAGATCCATATCAAACCTATATGTTTTTAGTTTAGATGCAAATCCACCACATATGACAATCAGCAAAACTCCTTCTCTGAGGAGTAAATGACTGTGATGTGTCAAAGTAGAAGGATGAGTCCTAAGTATTTAGAAGACATTAAATGTCTTTGAGTTGATAAAAGTAATTAACGAATTGGCAGGTGCCACCATTATTTAGACTAAAGTAAATGTGGTACGCCACTATGATTTATGAGATAGTGGATTGGGTTGAAAGTGTGTCGGGGGGAATCATGGTGGGGAGGCTTTTTTCACTTGAAAGAAATGTTAAAATTAACTGCTAGTAGTGGCCTTTATAGCCAAAACTAATATGCATTGTACAGTAAGTCAGTGATTAAAATAATACATACATGGTCAGTGCTACTCTGGGCACAACCTGCCCTCAGTCTAAAATACTAAAGAGAGAGAATATGGAAAAGTGTCTAAATATATGCAAAGACTACGTGCAGGAATGCTTTGTTTAATATTCGGGCTGACCTCATGCACTGTGAATTAGAAATGGCACTTACGCAATTCTTGCTTGTTTAGAAGTTTATTTTTGCAGCTTAGGTCAGCCTGTCTCTTAAACTAATGCTGATTGCTCAGTACATCACTCATCAAAGACTTAAATTTACCTCTATTCCCCACACAAATCTGATGTTCTTGATCTTAATTACTATAATCATTGACATGAACTTTGAGTCAGCACTTCTCAAGTCGCAGAAAGCTCTCTGCATATTAAATGAATGCTTTGTAAACTCAAATTACCACTGCCTCTCACTTTATTTTGAATACTGTGTGTTTTTAAAATTTGTATCACAATTGTGCTACTGTGGGATTCTAACCAGTAGGTTCTTCTACACAAGATGCTTTACTGCACAGCAGACTAATTTGCTTCGCAGTAAAGCATCACTGTCTATACATGTGCAGCCATTAGGGTGCAATAGACTAATTTACTGCACTTACAGATAGTGCTGTCAGATATAAATGGTATCTGGCAGCACAGTATATTACTATTTAAATGCATGTGTAGATGGTGACATCGGGATTTGTTTACTCTGGCTCAATTTGAGCTGCAGTATATTCAGTCACATTAATTATAGGTGTAGCTGTGCCCCATATGGAGTAAATTTTAGAGGATGCCTCCCCACAAGCCCAAGGAAAAAATCACCTACAGTTCTCTCAGCTAATTGAGTATTAAGCAACAGCAACAGAGTATCTATCTGGGGATGTCTGCTCTAGAGATTGCAGTACAATGTAGAAATAGCCAAGGTAGTGTTAAATAAGTTAGCTCAGGACAGGAAGCATTCCCCCCCTCCCCTTCCCCTTGCCATGGCTAATGCTCATTTAAGGCTAACTTACCATTCTTGGTTTGCACATGTGAAATGAGTTAATGGTCCCAGTTCTGTTTCTAGTACCCAGGTAACCTGAGTTTAAAACAACAAAAAAAGTTTTCTCAGTACTAATTGTCACCCTTGTTGGTAGCATCAATCAGCAGAAGCTCTGATTGCCAAATGCACATGGAAATATTTTCCTTTTGGTAGTGATGGACAATGCTGGTAGGAGTCTTGTATGGTAGATTGTTTAGATTGTGGATTTAGAAGGCAAGTAATGTCTCCAACACTACACATTTGGTGTCTTTACTTCAAAATTTGCAGATAAAAAGCCCTTATTTTTCAGCTTCTTAGGCTCCAAGCTTGTTAGATCCCACAAGTTATATAGCATGAGTTTGCATTAAGTTGTGGTTGGATCCAGCTTTGCAGTGAAAGTGATGTGGCCCCAGCCCCTTCAGCTCTGTAGTTCGTGCAGTGAAGAGATCTGCCTTAGTATGCACCACACAGCAGAAAGGGGCATGGATGGCTTCATCCCCCTCTGTCGAATCCTGGATACCAGACAGCTCACTGCATGGGGAGCTTGTACAGTGAGCTCTAGGAGATCACCGCTATGTCAGCACAGCTGCTGCTGGAGCTTTGAGCTTGTCAGCTGATCGGTGTGCCATTTTGCCCCCTTGCTGAATTCAGCAGCAAGAGAATAGAGGATGAGCGGTAGCAGGGCTTAGCTCCAGTTTTCCTGTGATTAGTGGTGAGGAGAAGTTACCTCCCTGCCCCCCCCCCCCAGTTTCTGGAGCTGTAAGAAAATTGGCCTGGGGGCCTCCAGCCAGGGGGTGTGTTGATAAGATAGAGAGCTGAGTGAGCTTTCTGCTCTCATAGCACACAGGCAGTGTGACCTCACCACTGCATCCCATGGATCCACTCCTGGGTTAGGTGATAAGGGCTCTATGTATATATTCAGAAGACAGTAGTGTTATAATCATAGAATATTGTGGGGAGCTTGCTGTTCTTTACTGTGGATATAAAAAGTGATTTTTACAGTGCTGACAATCCAGCAACTTTTGCAGATATCCTGAAAATAATGTCATGAATTTTAAAGCAACAACCCCCCTCAAGTAAAGATATTGTCAAGGAAAAACTATACTTTCTACATAGGTGGCAGCTTTGTCTTAACCCCTTTGCCTTTGCAGCCAAATGATGTGCTGCAGAGATGAAGTGGTATTATACAACTTTAAATGATACACACATTGTAAATAAAAATGGTATTTTTCTCTGTACAGAATTTCTTTAAGGGTTAAAAATAATTTTCAAATGTAGCATATTAGACTTGATCTTATGCTCATTATACACTCAAAACTCCCACTGAAATAAATGGGAATTCCTAAGCGTGCTAGGAATACAGTATTGGAGCCAGAGTCTAACATTTTACTTTGGATCCAGTCTATATTTGTAATGCACACTGATATTACTGTATCTATCTAACGGCAGATAAAAAACAACTTAGTACTCAGCAGGAGGTTCAAAGTTATTCTGAAATTGTGGATGCCCATGCGAATCTAATAAGGCGTCCTAGAGAGATTTGTATCAAAGATGGTGAAGGAACATCTCTTCATGTAACTGGCAACAAAAAACTACAGCAGCAGCTTTAAAAGGAGCATTTTCATTTTTTGGTGGCTAAATGGGCTAATTAATTTTCCCCACTAAATTCTAATTGGATTGCAGTTGAAAAAGAATTGTCTAATAATACCTTTTTAAATTAATCTGTGTGTAATAGATATGCTTCTCTATAGATGTTTGTCTTTTTTTTAATATAGGTATTATAGTGCCACTAGTGTGGGTAACCATTGACTGCCAGATAGGAAAATGAAGCTCCTGGTATAAAGATACTGTACTGAAATAAACTTCAAGAAAGTTTTCACTGGAACCAATTCCAAAAATCCTGGTAGAAGAAGTATATCTGAGAAAATGTGAGGAGGTTCAGTGTGTGCAGTAACTTTTAAAGACATGAAGAAACTCAGTTTATAGGGTTCTTGAATTCAGGTGATAGATGTTGTGGTTTTTTAATACACTGGGTTGTTTTCCCTATTAAGAACAAGAGCATATATACTCAAGTCTCCTGTCTTCCTTATATAAGTGCAAAAGTATTCCTGAATAATAACCATATATTATTAAGATCTGATAGTTAAAGAACTTTTGTTCCCTTTTTCTTTTATTCCAGTGTTTCAGGAGCGTAGATCTCTTGCCATGGCTTTGAAAATGGCTTGAATCCAAATGTAACACTAATGGGTACAACTCAACTTCTACTGAATTTGTCCTTAGAGCCTTTAACGGATCACATTACATTTCAGATGTAAAGCTGGTCAGGATACTAAACCGGTAAAATGAAGGACACTGGTGGTTTCCTAGGAGTTTTTTAAATTTTCCTTTGTTTATTTGATAAAATGCGGAAGGAAGGCATAGGTGATGCATAGGATGAGCACGGGGAGGGGCATGTGCCCGACCCCCCAAGATTGGCCGCCAGCAGCTTCTGCAGGCAGTTGCCGTTGCCCCCCACCCTTGCTGCTAACACAGCTGGTGACATCTGATGGTGGTCCCCGCTCATTGCCATGAATGCTGGTGGCTATAGGTGGTCCCCACTCACTGCCGTGGTGCCCTCCCATCCCCAGGTCTCAGGAGGCACCAGTCATACATGAAGGAAGGGATAGGAATTGTAACAAGAAAGCAAATACTTGTTTGGTAAGAAATAAAGCAGCATTCTTCTGCTAATAGCTTTGTTGGCAGTTTCAGTACACAGCTCATAGAGTAAAAATCTGAGTTACCATATACTGATACCATGTCAGATCAGAAATTGTCGAACTCTTACTGTAGTATGCAACCTATCGCTGAAAACAGCCTTATTACCAGAGGACTGCAGGGTTACCAATATGACTCCCAAATTATAAAAGGCTACAGAGGGGAGCCAAGGAACTATACACCAGTTAGTAACTTCTGTTCTTGGAAAATTAGAAGCAATAATAAAAGAAATAAATGAATGAATTGTTGACACATGGATGAACATGAGCTGCTGGGGAGGAATCAACATGGTGTTCTTTCAAAGGGAAATCATGTGTAGCCAACTTACTACAGTTTTCTTTTTTTTTCCTGAGGCTGTCAATAAGCAGGTGGATCAGAGTGATTCATCTGACAATGCAGTCTAGATTTATGAAAACCCTTAGACTTAAACAGGTTTCCCCATCAGAGGCTTTTAACAAACTTAGGTAGTCTTGGGATTACAGGGAAGGTCAATTTGTGGATTACACATTGTTTTTTTTAAAGACAGAAAACAGAATGAGTATCAGTGGTCAGTTTTCAAGATAAAATGAAGCAAACAGAGGGGTCCCCCAGGGATTTTTGTTGAAACCAGTGCTGCTTAACATATTCATAAATGATCTGGAAAATGGTGAGTAGTGAGATGGCCAAAATGGTGGAGGACACAATTCTTCTAAATGGCAATGACCAAGGCCAACTGTGAGAAACTGCAGAAGGATCTGGCACTACTGAGCAAATAGGAAGCTAAATGGCAGATGAAACTCAATGTAGATAAGTGCAATGTGATACATATGAGCAAAAATAACCCAGATTATACCTACACTGTGATAGGCTCTACATTTAGCTGTTACCACACAGGGAAGAGATTTGAATGTCATTGTGGACAGTTTGCTAAAAACATCAGCTCGGTGTTCGGCAGCCACCAAAAAGATAAACAACACATGAGGAATTATTAAGAAGAGAAGTGTAAACAAAACAGAAAGTATCACTATGCCCCTGTATAAGCCTATTATGCATTCACATATGAATAGTGTGCCAGTTTTGGTCCCCACACCTCAGAAAGGTTATAGGCAGACTAGAGAAGATACAGAGAAAGGTAATACAAGGAAGATTAATGGTATGGAGGAGTTCCATATGAGGAGAAGCTAAAGAAAAAACATGCTTGAGTGGGGGGACATAATAATGAAGATAAAGTATATAGGGATTTATTTACCATCTCTTTCAAAACAAAAACTAGGGGTCATAAAATGAAACTAGTAGTCTGTAAGTTTAAAAGTAACAGATAGTTCTTTTATACATCTACGTGTTCATTAATGCACTTTTGCTAATGCACATTCAATTTAGAACCTCCATTGTGAGGTACTAGAAAAAGGCACATTAGCGAAAGTGCACAGGTTTTTTATGCTGCTTTCATGAGCATTAAAATAGGCTAATGCACATTAAAGCTTATGTGAAGATGCGCCCTGTGTGTAATTAAAGTGTGGAAGTCATTACCACAAGATGCTATAGAAGCTCACTGTTTAGCCTATTCACAAAGGGATTGGACAAATTCTTGGAGGAAAGGGGCATTAGTAGCTATCGATTATGGGAGTTAGGGGTCTGGCCTCTGAATCAGAACTTCCTGGACCTTGAATCCTGGAGACTGCAAGTAAGGGAGGAAAAAAACCCTGGCCATATCCAGTTCACCTTCTCTTTCAACTCTGTACTATCATGTGACACAGGCTTATTTGATGCATTGGGCTTAATGCCCACAGAGCAATGGTTAACCTCCTCCCCCATGTTGTTAGAGGAGGCTACTGGGTATGCATCAACTGAGTTTGCGGACAACTGAAGAGAAAAACAGGGATGGGAGTGAGGTTACAGGTTTCAAACAAGTGGAGGACACCGAGCAGAGTATGTTGGAGAGTGCCCGCTGGCCCTCAAACAAGTTCAAGGACTCTGCCCAGGGAAACTCTTCCTGGAGACCTGAACAGAGCAAAGACAGGAAAATGGCCCCGCAGGCCCCAGGGGCCCTTCTGACCAGAAACGCCTTCCTGGTCAGGTATATATACCAACCAACTTGGACCTATGGTCTGACCCAGTAAATGGCAGTCCTTGTGTTCTTATGTTCTTATTTTTTTGCATTCTTCATGCATCAGACCCGCAAAATTCAGGTGCATGCATTAAGTAAGAAAGCTGATTTTTCTGCCTAAGATGGAAGCACTTTGCTATGATTTCTGCTCCATTTGGCAGCAGCTCTTGTATTACTATTCAGGCAACTAAGTTAGTTGACTTAATGGCCCATTGTTCTTCACTCCAGAAGTGTTAACAATAGTCTCTCTTTTTTAATGGTCTTGATGTTCCACTAATCAAACAATTAGTGTGGCCCTACTATCTGCTAGGGCTCCTGGTCTCTTCTTTTTCACAGCTCTTTTCAGAATCATAAATGCATCCATGAAGACCAGTCTTCAACAGTGGCTAGTGTTTTAGTTCAGCAGGAAAGGGAGAACAAGTCAGCTGAAGATTAGGCTCTGTCCCTGCTCTCTGCAGCCATAGGTTTGGAACATATTTTTTTCTTTATTCTGCCTTTCAAAAACAAGTTGCATATTATATTCAGAGGCATGTTAGATGAGAGAAAATATGGTATGTTTTCTTTCTGTAGATCACATTTCAGGTGGGGAAGGTTAGAATAAGGAAACATTTAATGAGGCCATGAATCAAATACTTTTCACTGGCTTTAGATTTAAATATCCACTATATATATTATATTTATATAGTGTGTGTGTGTGTGTGTGTGTGTGTGTGTGTGTGTGCGTGTGTGTGTGTGTGTGTGTGTGTGTGTGTGTGTGTGTGTGTGTTTAGCCTCCACTGTAAATCTGGCTGTGAGCTTTGACCCATGCCATTATTTTACCAGGTAAATGCAGTTTTTGCTATATAGCATATCCAGGTTTCTCGTTATTGCATTTATGAATGATCTTCCACTCATCTGTATCTCTTACTTTTTTGTTTCTATGTCACAGTTTGGCAGAAGGAACAAAGTTACACCTTCAGGCCCTTGTGCCTTCAATTATTTTAATTCTTTTAAACAAAAATTGGATGTTTTAAATAGTTGGCAACAATCTGTTAAAAAGAGAGATGACTTTCTTGGCTTGCACAGTCCAAAATGATTCAATCAATAGCTTAAAGCCTAGAAAGAGAAAAAAAATCTTGTTTTTTTCAAGTCACAAATTCAAAGAGGATGTAACTTTTTTCCCCAAACATTTATTAGTAACTTTTGTGAACACCGTAAAACTCAAGATTATTTAACAAGAAACTTCTTGGATATCTTCAGTTTAAGTTTTATTGTCATCCGAAAGGAAACAGTTTAGGTATTCTGTCACCATAGAGAGGCAGTTCCCAGTATGTAAGTGGCAATGCCTTTGATCTGGAGAGATAAGTGAGGAGTCTAGATAGTGGCTTACACTGGCTTAGTGTTTTAGTAATGATACCAGTGGATTTTATGTACTGCTCAGATGCAAAGGGGTGGGGCGGGGAGCAGGAGGGAAGGAGAATCATTAGCAGTAGAATCTAATAGCTGGAGGTAAAGAGAAAAGATTCAAGTACAAAAATGTTCTTGGTTCTTTATAGCTCAATACTGATATAGTGTGTACGATGAACTCCATGATTTTGCGTCTGTATCCCTCTGCAGGAACTTACGATTTCCTCACAGTGAAGAGAAACTCATTTTAGCCATCCCTTTTCCTTCCCCCAAAAATCCTGGATTTAAAAAAAATATGGTTTTTTTGTTGCTGGGGAAAATTTGTTTTACATCATTCTAGTCCATGTAGGGATGAGAGAGAGAATGTATTTTAACCTTTACAGGATTTTTTTGGTGGGAGGGCTGAAGGGGTTGAATCTTGATATGTGTGGATGTTAAAGGAAACTGCGAACAGATTTAATATTCATGTAGGTTTTGAACTTCAGATAAAGGAAAAGATTTTTTTGTAGTGACGCTTCTGAAGCTAGCTACTTATAAATATTAGTTTCCTAGAAATCCTAAGAGGTTCATGTTTGTTCTGTGTTTTTTCTTATTTTCCCTGAACACGCCAAATCATGCGATGCTATAGACAGCAGAGAGGCTTGTATTTTCTTCTTAAACTAATTGCTGCTTTCCTGTAATTAGGAATGGGAATCATAAGGTCTCAACAGCAGCTTGTGTACCTGAATATCCCTCTTCAGTTTATCAAAATATTAGTATTGTTTAACTCAAAGCATCATTTTAAAATTAAGCCAATGGAAGCATCTGTTGTAATTTTATATTCTGTACTTCTAGCCCAAAATGGAAAACTGGAAGCTATCTTATCCCTGTGGTTTTTGCATGCTTGATATTTTTGTTGAATCAAAAAACTGCAACCATAGGGCCTGATCCAAAGCATGTTGAAGACATTAATGGGAAGACTGTTGCCCCCCTTTTAGACTGTTGTCATCAAAGAAAAAGGCTGCCATTGATTTTAAAGGGCTCTGGATCAGACCCATAATGAAATTACCCTTAATTATAAATATGAAGAGGTGGGTCCTGTTTCCTTTAGTGATATAGAGTAATGCCTAACTCTGATTTCATTTTCATCAGTGAGACAATCTGTGGAAGAAGTGTCACAGAGTATGAAAGTAAATTTTGTCATTCTTCTGTGAGCATGGAGAAAAGCACTTCAAATCCACAAGTATTGCTTTTGACTTTGGCAGGACTTTTTGAGAAATAAAAAGCTGGTAATGAGGCCCTTTATGTTCTTTACTATTCATTGCAGTTTTGTGTGGTAATTGTATGTTGTCTTGTCTGATCCACAGCTGCTGCTGTTCCTTAAAGCCTTTTCTGAAACAGAGCAGACAAAGTTGGCAATGCTCACTGGGATCCTGCTAGCCAATGGAACACTTCCTGCCACTATTTTAACAAGTCTTTTCACTGACAACATAGTCAAAGAAGGTAACTTTTTTGTTCCTTTACTTGCCTTTTTGATCTTAGCTTTCATAATAGTAGTGTATTTTGAACTTTGGCATCCTAGAAACAGTACAACAGAAGGTAACACTTTTAGAGTGCAGACAGACATAACACTTGAACCGTTCCAAGAAGGGATACCTGAAACCAGTGACAAAAGTCAGTGGTGTTCCCATGTTCACGGCTAAGGGTCCTAAGTAGAACCATCACCTTTCAGGTATAGCAGTGCTCTCAAACCACCACCGGAGGGTGGCAGTGAGTACCCAGCCCAATGGCAGTTTTCTGCTCTGCTCCCCCTTCTCACTAACGTTAAGTTCAGTAAAGACCAGCTCCTGCACTTTACAGAAAACCTTTTGGTGGTTCCTTGACTAGGAGTGTGCACTATGTGTACTCTAGAGCTGCTGGAGTTTTCATAGCTTTTATAGAGCACTCCACCTCCACCCCCAAGCCATTAATCAGTTTACTTCAATTGCTGGAAATACCAGGGTCTGGTGCATCTCAGGATGTTTTAGGGGTGTGAGGGGTGCCTGGTTGAAGATGAAGGGCTGCCTAGATGTTTGCTTTTGTGTGCCTTGGGACTGGGTGCTTAGGGTACAGCTCTCTGCTACTTTTATAGAGCTGGTCTGTCTCCTTCCATGGATGGCAGTCTTTCCCCAGTCCCCAGATACATAAAAGCAGCACTCCTTGCAGCCACCTCCCTGCCACAGGCCCTGGCCAGGCACACTGCAGTCAGCTGTGGACAAGAGGTTGCAGTGGTTCTGGCAACGTACAGGGTAACTAGTTGGTGTGCAAGAGTTGGCAGTCGAGTGGGGAAGGGAGGGGACAGGACAGTGAGGAGCAGTGTGCACGTACAATATAGTCCATACTGACGGTATGTGCTCCAGAATCAGGGCAATTGTTCAGGGCAATTTTATGGTGTATTGAAATATTTTTCCTGCTTTAAATACTTGGCAGCTTTCCAAATGCTTTTCTTAAAAGTTTCTTTCACTGAAAATATGGACTGCTTCCCCCACCCCTCCACTCCCAACCCAAGCCTTTCTTGGTAATGTAATACTGATTTTTTTTTAAAAACTTTTAAGATTCTGTGTTCACTGTGGCACCTTTAACTGTATATACAAGTTCTTAGTAAACCACATTTTCATTTGCTGCATGCTGACAATCATTATATTTGTTTTCTAAATGCCACAGCTGCAGCTCTTGCTCTGTCATCACCCACAGCTTTCACAGTACGAATAAAACTAGAAGGAAATCCAAACAAAAGCTCTAATCCATGTTTTAGGGTAATGACCTGTACTGTTCTTTTAAAATGACAGCTTGGTTTAATTACAAGAGCACAGGAGGCAACTGAGAACTTAAGCTTAGGACTTTTTTTTTTAAACTTCAACCAGGTTAGTTAAACATCAAATTAATATTTAGAGACAATGTTTGCACTTGTAACTTCAGAGCAAATGAATTTGCACAGTGAAACCATATTTCCTCTGTGTGAATTTCTTGATAGAATTATTTGGTTCTTGTCTAATATTTGCCAAAAAATTATCTGTGCCAGTGCTGAAGGGTGCTGCAGGTAATTAAATAACCATTAATCTAACTTAAATAGTATGTACAATTTAAAACATATTTTGAAGGAAAGAATAATTGGAATGGAAGTAAATGGAAAATGAAATAAAATGCCATATGGGTTTACCAAAGGTTAGTGCTAGATCTTGGATTTTTTCTTTACTAACCTGAGTGCCCTGGCACCCTGTGGTGCCTTGATCTTTTCATGGTGCTGTGGAGTGCCACATGAAGTTAGCACTGTTTGGTTTGCAAGCATGATTCACAAGATAAAGCCCAAAGATTTCATATAAAAATGCACAGAACTCTTTCTGAGTTCTTTGCAACAGAACTGCTCTGTTTTTTCTATCATCAAAAAGAGTGAAAACGAAGAACTGGCATTCTCCAAGGGGTGCCTTGACTCTAAGAAGGTTGAGAGCCACTGTGCTAAGTTCATCAGACAGCTTTTTATTTCCCTTGCTGAATGCAAAAGTGTGTTTGTCTTTTTTTCTTTTAAGAAAAGAGGTTAAGAGGGGAGTGTGGGTGTAGGTGTGGGTGTGGTTCAGGAGTGGGGTGTGTGGGACTTCTGTGTGCGTCTGTGTGGGTTTGATGCCCCTAGTTTAAAGATAATTTGGGTACCACTTTCTGAATTATAGCAAGAGCAGTATAGACATACTGCCATATATATTAAGGGCAAACCCTGGCTGTATTCTTCATCTCAGAAAGTATGCACAGAAAGCTACTTTAGAGATGGGCTGTGTCCTTCATGGCTTACAGTTCAGAAAGCCCATTTTTTCCCACATGGAAGGCTCTTTTGTCCTTTGAGGGTTCCTTATGCCCTTGCAAAAAGGTGGAAGTG